ATTTTGCGCGATTTTGCGACCAGGCTCCGGCCACGTATTCGCATTTGACGCTTTGTTTACTTTGAGATGGAGACTCCTCCTTCTCAAAGGCGCTGTCCTGGGGGTCATTTATTCAAGGCTTACGACCCCCACCTTTACTGTCCTAGCTGTCGGTCTTGCTCTCTGGAGCAGCCCTGTGACATTTGCCGTGCCTGGCAGCCGACTCCTGCCGGTGGTTCTCCCCGCCCGCGAAAGTTAAATGTTAGGAATGTTAAACAGGCCAGCCATGTTGTGTCCGCGGACGCCTCTGTTGGTAGCCTCCTGCCGGTCCGCTCCACTCCTGAGGGTGTTGTTGTCGGAGACCGGCCCCGGCAGTTTTGTCTGCTCCCGGGGTTCCCTGCATCCCTGATGTATCCCCTCGCGTGGTGATAACGTCTAGCATGCCGTCCACCACTGTGCAGCATTTGCTGCCCGGTCCGGTGGTAAGTGATGCCTCAGCCTCGCTAGCCTTGGCTGGATTTTACGGTGGTGTGAGCACTGGTGTAAAACCTATGCTCCCAGCTCTATCCCTTGTGCCTCCTCCCCAGGTTTTCCTATGGTAGGTGCCAGCGCTGCGGCGTTTGGTTTTGCCGGTGTACGCTGCTCCCCTGGTGGGGCTTGTTTTACTGGCCCTACAGGTTTTGGCCCTGCTGTAGGTCAGTCTGGGTGGAGTTGGTCAGGTCAGCCAGGTGTGGCTTATGGCGGCGGGGGTGTAGGTGGCCCTTGGTTCCCTACCCCGACCCCCCAAACCGGTCCTGCCTCCGGTTTCGGGCATCAGGTTGGTGGCTCTGTTCCAGGGTCCTCCCTGGTTTATCCCACCTATTTGCAGGGTGGGAATGGAGCTCATTGGGGTCAACAGGCTCCTTTTTATGTTCCGCCCCAACCACCGACCTCCTATGGGCAGTCTTGGGGTTTCTCCCAGCAGGGGGCTTTTCCGGCCGCTCCCCCTCCACCCCAGGGTGGTATGGGATTCCAGCCTGGATATGCACCCCCCGCCTTCTTGCCTGCGGTCCCCCCTCCATCCACCACCGAGCCGTTCGCGTATGCGTTCGCGCTCCTGGCCAGCTTCTGCTGCTGGTTCTGTCAGGCAAAGACCGCGTGATGCTAGGGCTGCTGGTCGTGCTGCGTTGGCTCGAGCTCCTATTTTGGAATTCAAGTCTACCAGTAACTTCCGCTGTCCTGCGTCAACTCCTACCTTGCAGCAGGTTCCAGGGTCTCTTGATCCTGCTTCTGCTGTCTCTCAGGGACTATCGCTTGCCCCGATAGTTCCTTCGGGTAGGTCACATTCTCTCTCCCCTCCTACCACCCCTCCTCTGAGGGTGACGTTGATGGAGGTTGATTCGGCGGGTGCCTCTCCTAGTGATGAGATGAACGTTCTTCGGGGGGTCTTCCGGTTGCTCCAAGTTTTCTGATTTGGAGTCCGTGGATTTGTCTGGGTTGGACTCAGAAGGCCCTTCCGATGTTTCCCGATCCCGGGCCCTAGATGCTGATTCGGTGCCTCCACACCGACCAGAACGAAGACCAACAGAGAGGCCCTCTCGAACTTGGATGCTGGTGGAAGGACAAACCCAAGATCGGTTCTGAACCGATAACCGAGGAAAACAAAATCCTGGGAGGGGAGAACCTCCGACTTCTTCCTGGAAGGGATGAACCCTAGGCTGCACAGAACACCCATAACCGACCTCGTGCTCCGGGACAGGATAACTGGATCCACTTGGAGCAACAGGGAGTCGTCAAAGTAGATGTGTGCATCTACTCCGAGACTGTGGAGGTGCCTCACTACTACCTGCATCAACTTGGTGAAAACCAAGGGGGCCGTCATGAGGCCGAAGGCCATAGCGCGAAACTGGTAACCTTCTGCTCGAAAGTGAACCTGAGGAACTTCCTGGCCGACCTCCTGACAGGGATGTAAAAGTAAGCATCCAAAGTAAAATCGATGGGTGTAGCCCACATCCCTGGACGCACTGACGCAATGATGCGTCGTGGATTTTCCATCTGGAAGTGCGGGGAATTGACGTACGTGTTGAACATACTGAGGTCTATAATAAGCCTCCAGGCACCAGACTTCTTCACGAGGAAGACCTGGGAGTAAAACCCTGGAGACCACCAGTCCGGTGAAAGTTCCTCGATCCCGCCCTTCGCGATCATTGCCTGAACCTCCGACCTGAGAGCCTCCACCTTTCCTGGATCGGAAGGAGAAGGGAAAAAGATAGGCTGTCTCGGTCTCGGAGCCCGGTTCTCACTGAATGGACCCTCAGGTCTCTTTGCCGGGTTTGGGACAGACCCCATGTGGATCTGTTCGCCACGGCCCTGAACTTTCGACTCCCTTTGTGTCTCCGGTTCCAGATCCTATGGCCATGGCGGTGGATGCTCTATCCCAGGACTGGTCAGGAATGTACGCGTATGCGTTTCCTCCCTTCAATCTGATGGGCAGGGTGTTGGAGAAGATTCATCTACACCCTTGTACTGTGTTTCTGGTTGCACCGCTCTGGCCTCGACAACCTTGGTTTCCTCTGTTGCATTGGCTTTCGGTGGACTTCCCGCGCAGCATCCCACCCCTGTGGGATCTTCTGTCTCAACCGAGGTCCCGGCAGTTCTACTCGGGACCAGAACGGCTCCACCTTCACGGTTGGATGCTATCTCGGGAAGGCTCACTCAGATGGGCTTTTCTCGAGAAGTTGCAACTCGCATCGCAGGATCACTAAGACCTTTGTCTTCCGCCGTCTACCAATCTCGATGGTCCGCTTACGGTGATTGGTGTGTCGGACGGTCGATTGATCCAGTCTCTGCCTCTGTTCCCGTTGTAGCCGACTTTCTTTTGTTTCTGTTCCAGGACAAAGGTCTGTCTCCAGGAACTATTGCAGGCTATTGTTCAGCCATTGCTAGTGTGCTGGCTTTCTATGGTAAGAAGTCTGTGGGCTCAGACGCTTCATTTTCTGCTCTCATTAGGGGCTTCTACATTGAGAAGCTTCGTTCACAGCAATTGGTCCCTAGGTGGAATTTAGCACTTGTGCTAGATGCCTTGTTGAGGGCGCCATTCGAGCCCCTCCAGTCGACGGATCGGAAGTTTCTTACTTTCAAGACTGTGTTCTTGATAGCCTTTGCTTCCGGTTGCCGCAGAAGCGAGATTCATGCTTTCAGCAGATCTCCTTCTTGCCTTCGCTTTTCGGCTGGCCATTCTTCAGTCTCAGTGACCACTGATCCCTCCTTTTTAGCCAAGAACCAGGTTCCCGGTTTCACCCCAGGGCTTGTGGTAATCCCTTCTTTGGCTTCAACTCTGGATGGGGATTGTCCTGATCGCCTGCTCTGCCCAGTTCAGGCCTTGCGTTACTACTTGG